AACAGTTGATGCATGCTGACATATGAAGAAAGTTGATAAAATAAATCCAAGGAAGTGAGGAACAATATCAGGTAAAAATGCTTAAAAGCTGAAAAAGATACCTTAAGTTTCATAAGCATGGGAGATGTAAAAGCCAATGTTTTTCCAGATCCAGTAGGAGCACAAGCAAAGCACTCCCGACCCTAGCATGATAATAGCATAGCAATATATTAAACCACAGCAGCCAAATTCTTGTGTTTTTATTGAACATTGTTAAAAGAGAAATCAGAAAAGAAATTGACCCATGCATATGAAAGCTACAAGTCCATACAGATAGAAGAACGGGAATAGCCTGCCTTTGAATTGGTGTTGGCTCTTTAAACCCAAGTTCAGCAAAATTGCTTAACAAATAGGATTCACATCCATATCTGTAGAGAAGCAATAAAAAGTCTCATTCTAACAAATACAATTCAAATAAGCATTCTCTCAAAAATAGAAACTAGAGAAACAACAAAAATTCAGTATCAAGACTATTGAATGAAAGAAACAAATGCAACTACTTCTATGCATGAGAAAAGCAAGCACCTGGAGCTTAAGTCTGAAAATTCCTTAAGTGGGGATGGAACAATATTACCACAAACATGAATGTTATATTTCTTCCGCAGAATCGCATCATGCTAATCTCATCAATCAAGAATAACCAAAATATAAAAGTTAGTAAAATACAAAAATATACAATGGAAATCACATTACTAAAAACCACAATTCAAAGGCCAAACAAAGAGCAGCAGAAGAAGAACCTCCATTTGTCTGTAAAGCTCCTTCTTTTCTTTTGAAAGCACATCTTCATCTTTTTCATTCTCTTCTTTCACCACAGGTGCTGTTTTTGAACTCTTAAAGACGCTGAATCCCTCCACTGATTCTATTTTTCCAGAAAATTAAACAAAATCAGCTTACATGCTTTCATCTTGTGCTCAAAAAAATGAGATAAATGAAAAAAAATATTACCTGAAGCAACTGGCTTTCGCTTTCTCTTCTTGATGGAAACTGCTGGTTCCTCTGGTTGGAGGCTCCCATTATCGAACAACTGCAAGTCCTCCACCTTACTATCGATTTCTTTCTTGTCCTATATGAAAATACAAGCAACAGAATGAATTCGGACAGTTATAGATATTGGGAAAAAGCATTAGAAGTGGCCAAATGGAGAAAAATGGAACCATGAAGCGATCAAATATGCCAGCAAACTTCTTTTTATCAAAGTAGGTGCCCCCAAACAGAAAGGAGCTCCTATTTTCCATTGGCGAAGATGAGGAACTCAACTCAGGAAAGGATCTGAAATTACCAACACAATGTAATTATAAATAATAATAATAATAACAATAATTCATTTGAATGAAACTAAACAGTTAACATAGAATCTCCATATTTGAAGAGTTCACTTAGATATCATCTTTACACTTCTACATAGAATAATCACACCTAATATACATTGCAGTCAAATTTCCAATTTTCAACATTTAAATCAAGGAATATTCATCAACAGATGTGAATGCTGGGGTTCGAGCCCAACTCCTCCACAAAAGAGTTCTTCCCACTGAACTACAGCCACAAAATCTGTGCAATATTTTTAACCCATTAAAAAAACTGAGCCTAAGGACAACAGATAACAATGAAGAACAATGATTTATCAGCCTAAATCCAAAGCCCAAATTTGTTTCAAAAGATGGGTTTTATAGAAACATGCATATAAAATTAAATACACAACTTCAACAATCTTAGATCCACTTAAACCGATGCCCATCAAAAATCAATTTCCACAATAAAATGAAATTAAATCCTTGATTACAAAGATTGAAGTTCCCCAACAACTAGAAATAAAAACATGCATGAACATTTAAAAAAAAAAGATCATGGAACATCAGATCCAAAACGAAAACAACAATCCAAATCAGATTAAAATCTTAAACACAGATCTTAATCCTATACTTGCCCTCAAAGATCAAATCAGACAATAAACATTGAGAAAAAAACCAATCAGAAACAAAGGAACAAGACGGTGAAGACGCACAGTCAAGATATATATACAAAGACCAAATGAAATTGGCTTTCATTCAAATCAAAGCAACAAGATGAAGATTGATTTTACCTCTAAGCTAACAAAGAAGCCCTCCTGCAGAGAAAGAGAGCGTAGACAGCAAGCGAAAGTGGGTGAGTGAAGTGGCTGCTTCAGATTAAATACTGGTGTTGATGACCACACAAATTTTCAAAAAATGAAATTGAAAAAATAAAATAAGTGTGAAAGATTAAGAAAAGCAGAGTCACCACAAGTCACCTAAAATGGTCTGCATAGAGATTGAGGTTCAAGGGTTCAGTTAGGAGTGAGGAAGGACATACGCGCACCTCACTATCCTCCGTGTAAAACACAGTTGCATACTTTAAAATTGGGGTTTTATTCAACTTTTTTATTCTAAGATCTTAATTGAGTAATCTTGAAAAGTAAATAGACAAAATTGTAACACTTGAAACCTTTAGGACTGAATTGGCCATAATCAAGAACATGCATGCACAATTGCAACAAATTAAAAGTTGAGGGACTGATTTGACTAAATTTGAAGTCTGGAGGACTAATTTGCAATTTGTTTAAAAATTTGCGGACTAACTGCTTAATCACAGAAAACTTTGGCAGAATTAGAATTTGATAAAAAGACAATTTTGACTTTTTAATTTTGACCTCGATTAAAGAAAAAGAAAAGTAGACAATTTTAAATTAATTAATCATAACAATTAGTTTAATTGAATGATTAATTTAAAATTATTCAAGATTAATTAGTGTCACATTCATTAGTCTCTAATCAAAATAAAAATAATTAAGAGAATCTAATAACCTTGATTAAAATCCATAAATGCAATTACTTTACTCTAATTAAAATCAATTAATTCCTTTAGCTGTAGACTAAACTAATCATCATAATTATTTTATTATATTTTTTGTAGTTTTTAAATCATAATTCCAAAACCAAACAGGTCCGGTTGACCCGTCCAAAAACACGACCCAAACATTTAAACGGGTTGAAAACACTGCTTTCTTTTTTCTTTTTTCTTTTTTCTTTTTTTGGATTTTTAGGGTTCATAGCATTCACTCCATTCCTCAGAAGGAAAGCGCAGCAAAATTAATGACAAGGAATCTGTCAATCTACCAAATTCAGCCAAGGACAACAGCCAAACACAGCAATAAAACATAACATCACTTGTAAAAACAATCCTTATTCATCATCAACTATCAGTTCTTACGAATTTAACCTACAGAACATTAACCAGATTCACAAAAAGGGCAGAGATTGAGAAAACAGATCTGGTTTCAGATCCAGGGCACCCCAACCGCGGGATAGTCCCTAGATCATCAACCTAAATCTCGTTCTCAAGCTCCTATGAGCTAGAAATTACCTAAGATGATCGAAAATCGCCGGCAAAGTCGCCAGAAACTATCTTTCACCTCTGGCAAGCCCCAAAAATCCCGTCGAAGAAGCCCTCTTCAAAAATAACCGAAAAGCCCGCTTCCGCTTCCCTGGCCGCGAGCAGATCTACAAACAAATCGCTGGAAAATCGCCGGGGGAGAAGACCGGAAAACTGCCGACAAATTGCAGGATATCGTTTCTCTCTTCCTCCCATAAACAGAAAAATCAAGAGGAGGTGAAGGTGAAGTAATCGGTGATGAAGGTTGGTCGGTCGGTGGCGATGATGAGATCGGGGAGAATGGTAAGGAAATTGTAGGGGGCGGTGGTTGAGAGGAAAAAAACGAAGAAGTCCCTATCCTCCTCCTCTAAGTGGCTGTCCGCTTTTTTATTTTTTGGTTTGTTCGAATTTTTTCCTCTTCAAATGCGAAAGAATTAGGGTTTTCTTGTGTTGGTTTTCAGCAAAGAAGGCTTTCAATTGAGCTCAATGAGCAAAACAGGTGCACCATCGATGTATTTAAAAAAGGGTCAAAGTTGGGTCCAAATATGATGGCCCATATTTTCCGTTTCTTTTTCGTTTCTTCTTCTTTTTTTTTTTTTTTTTTTCTCAACTCTTCCAGTTTTCATCTTGATGGCCTCTGCTTCATACTCCTGTCATATGAAATTAAATATATTAGAACACAAAAAAGTAATTTTCGAATATAGTAGAAATTTTATTTATAATATAAATTATATATTTTTATTATCAAAATTTGAGTTATAATAACTGGTGGTGTTAGGGGTTTTCTAAAATTAGGGTTTTTCTTTTATAGTTGGATTACTTAATTGCAAGGTTTTAGACAGAGAGTTTGTCTTTGTCATTTACAATATATTTAATCTTGAGTAGAATGAAATGAAAGAGAAAAAAAATTTTATTTGGTTATAAAAGAATTAAAAAAGGAAGGAGGGAAAAAATTTAACTTTTTATTTTTTTTAATTTAATTATTTATCAAATGTGAGAAAGAAAAGAGAAGAAATGAAGAGAAATGAAAAAATAATAATTTTTCTCTTTTCTCTTTCCTTTTATTTCAATGTATCTAATAGGCATAAGGTTCGAAAAAGCCCCTGTACTGACAATATGGTGGCACTTAAGCCCTCAAACTCAGAATGGAGGCAAAACACCCCTTATACTCAAAATTCAGTCGCAAATTAGCCCCTAGATAACTAAAGCCGTTAAGTGGCGTTAGATAAATTAAAAAAATTGCAGGATTAGTCCTCAAATAAATTATAAGACAATAGTTAAACCCCAAGAAAATCTTGATGGGAGATATTGCCACATATACATGAACAATACTAAATATTTGTCATTAAATTAAGCAAGTGGTTCAATATGAAGAAAGAGTCCTAGCAGAAATGAAAGAAAATCACCTAGTTGAGCTAAGACAAGAAAATAGAAAAATAAACTATATAATAGTACTATATAATAGACAGATTAGATTTAGAGAATAAAGGATTAATAAATAAATAAATAATAGTTGTTCTACTGAAATAAACATGAATAATGAACAAGTAAACTAGATTAGCATGTATTTACTTAATACAGTAGGTAAAAACATAATATATTGTGAAGATATAATTATTGTTGATAAGATTTTAGAAATAGAAATGATCAACGAAAATACTTTAAAAAGAATTAAAGAATTAAAGAAATAAGAAAATCCCTCTCACAAAAATTTGAATATATTAGAGACAAGATAAATGGAATTAAAAATTCTAAAGATTTGAAAGAAATAAAAGAAAAAATAAGGTCTATTAGAGACTTAGACCATAATCTCCTGAGTTAGAAATATAGAAATCAAAATAAAAGAAATTCTTAAGATATTAAAAGCAGTCGCTAAAAAATTTACCTTAAAAGTTTTAAAATGTATAATAAAATAATCATGCAACTGGAAAGTGACATAAATAAGAATATTTTAAAAAATTCAAACTCAAATTAAGGACTATCAATCTGTAGTAGATGAAATATCATAGAAAGAAATGAAGGATTTAAAATAATCCCAAAGATTTTTATAAAAAAACCTAAATCAAAGGGAATAACACTTTTTATGTTAAAAACTCAAGAAGAAAAGTTGGAGCAAAGATTCCTAGAGGAAGAAAATGTAGAAGAGTTAGACAATTTGTGTAGACAAATTACTATAACTGCCAAACAATTGGAAAACATGAAAATGAATACTCATAAAGAGGGAAAGGAAGAAATGGAAGAAGAAAGTGAAGAGAAAAAGGTGTGAGGCAACCTTCTATTCCCATTACAACAAGGGGTAGAATCTAGCACTAGTCAAAGTTACAGAAGAAATAAAAATGAAATATATGAAATAGTATATGATAGAAAGAAATTTGGAAATCAATCTAAACTTGAAACCCCAGTTAGAGTCAAAGAACAAATTATCAATACTAATGGCATTTGGCTAGATCTAGATTGTGTTACTGACCTCGAAAAGGTCATTAGTGACTAGGCACAAGCCACTTGGATAGCTATAGCGAATAAAAACTAGAATACCTTACAAGCAACTAGATTTAAAAAAGTCATCTTTAAAGGGATAGTTCATGATTGGTTTGTCAGTCTAAATGAAGAAGCCATTATAAGTGGAATCTTACTTCAAAAGAAGTAAATGGAAATGAAGCAATCCAAGACATAATAATTAGATTTGAATCAACTATAATGAAAGAATTTTTAAGAGAAAATTGGGAAGAAAATCCAGAAAAAGAAGAACCCAGAATTGGAAGAATAGCAATATGGAATCTACATAATTTAGAATTATGTAATCTTTGTGAGCTAGACCAATACATTTGTTTATTTCAAAAATACTATTATAAAGCCTCATATCATGGAATGGCTAAAGGTCTGAGAGAATTATTTTTTGGAAAAAAAACCCTAATCCTTGGGGAATAAAGCTAGCAGAAGCCTATAGAACCTATGTAGAAGATAAAATCGATACATTAGGCCTAAGGATTTGGTTGGCTAAAACCAAAATAAATGAAGGGTGTATGGAAACCTATAGTTATAACAAATTAAGAAGAAGTATAAAAAAAGGGGTTATGCTGTCCTAAAAATAGTGATCCAATCAAGTTAGGATGTACTTATTCAAACTATAGAAAGCAAAACAAAAGATTTAAAATTAGAAGAAGCAATAAACAAAGGTTTAATAAGAATAAATTTTCTAGAAAGAAGAAGAGATATTTTAAGAAAACAAAAGCACCACAAAAATATAAAAAGAATCTTAAGAAATGTAAATGCTAGTTATGTAAAGAAAAAGGACACTATGTAAATGAATGTCCTAAAAAATACAAAAGAGAAAGTACTAAAAATCTAAAAATCTATGATGAAGAGTTAAGTGAAATAGAGACTAGCTCTATAAATAGTAATGAAACTATATATGAAGTGGAAAGTTTAGATACTTCCAGCAATGATGAATCCGATTGTTAAGGAAAGAGAAGCTCATTCTGAAATTTTGAAGAATATGAAGGATATGGAGAATACTGTCAAATAATTGTGTTCGATAAAAGTAAGTGTAAAAGAATTAGGCAAGAAGGAATGAACCTTGTAGTAGAAAAGGGATTAAAGTCGAGTTCCTTTATTAGTAATCTTTTTAAAAGAAAAGATATAGTTTATTACAAAATATCTACTAAATAATATAGCATTGCTATCAAGAATACAACAAGAATAATAAACATATCTCTGCTCATCAAGGCAAAAATAGAAAGTAAATTGTCAAAACTCAAAGAATATGATAGATCAAGGATAAGATTTATCCATGTAGGGGGAATTCAAATTCTTATTAAAGCTCATTTTAGAGAAGTTAAAGACACCCCAATAAAGATAGCTTTAATAGATAATAGAATTAACAATAGAAAGAATGCTATCCTAAGATTAGTGCAAGGTAACCTTAGCCATCAAAAACTCATGTTCATGATATATCCAAAGTATGCTGTAAATATTAAGGATAGAAATATCAACAAAACACTAAGTCTAGCACATGAATTTGCTAGAGAAAATTTTATGAAAGATGGATCAATGCCATATAGTATTTACTATATGATAAGTTATGCATTGACTAATAGTCATTAGTCTAATTTTTAAAAAAATACAAAATATATCAAATTAGATCCTATGTTCTTTGAAATAGGACAAATTCAAAAACCAAAGATGATCACTGAAATAGAATTACCTAAAGAATGGGAAATGGACATTAGTGAAAAACTGCTCCTAATAGGAGAAAGAGAAAAACCTAGATTAATGGCATATGAGTCAAGAAGACTATTAGTGAGAATAGAACCCGAACCAAGCCATAGAAATAGCATAGACTTAGGTGTATGGAGCTACCCTAAGAAAGATAAAAGAGTCTTAACTAGAACAACTAGTATTTAACATGAAATGGTATTAGACACCTTAAAAATCCCCTCTAGACATTTTAAAATAAAGGGAGACAATTATGATGGAAAGGAATGGCATAACATTTCTATCTTAATTGATACAGGGGTAGGAGTAACACATCCATACATATATGATCCCACACCTACAAAGATTTGAACTCACTAAACCTTATACATATTTTAACTTTAGTGGTGTAGTGACCATAGTGTATGAATATGCTAGAGTACCTCTTAGAATATAAGATAAGAATAAGATATAACATGAAATTACTATAACAGCTCATGCTAAAGTAGAAATGACTGCAAGTATATAATTGATGATAGTAAACACATTCTTAACATCAGTACAGCCATATAATATTCAAGAACATTGCTTGAAGATCACCTTAAGTGAAAAAGAAGTAGTTATACCAAGATATTATAAAAACTAGTATCTATAGCATATATATATATATTGGAATAAAGTATGGGGAATACAAAATAGAATTCTTTCATGCTTTTATAGATATAGGATTTGGGATATGTCTAGTAAAAACTAATGTATTTTGAAATCATTATTGGAAGCAAACCTCTCAAACAATGAAACTTGTAGTCATAGATAGAAGTATTATTCAATATCAAACAATAATAAAAAGGGTTATTGCCATAATTGGCGGGACTGAAATTATAATTCCTTGAATTTATGAAAGTAATAAGAATAGAAATGACATTCTATTAGGAAACAATTTCTTAAGCCAATTCAGGCAATATATTCAAACTGCATCATATGTAAAATTTTGTATACCTTATGATCATTGGCTTTACACCTCTAGAATATATAACACCTATACTAGAACAATAGAAATATTAAATTTTTGCAGCCAACATGGTGAGGATAATAGAAAAACTCACTCAAAAGAGATAAGAAAACCAATGTTAGCATTGTGGAGTAATGAAAAAACACAAGAAAAAGTAACCTTAGAATCTATTTCAAAAGAATTAAGAAGTAATTATGGAGAAGATCCTACCATAGTATGGGAAATTAATAAAACTTATGCCATAATTGAATTAATAGACCTTAAAACTATCATTAGAGTCAAACCAATGAGGTATAGTCCTGAACATAGAGAAGAATTTGAGAAACAAATCCAAGAATTAATATCTCAAAAGATTATATAGGCCTCTAAAAACTCGCATAGTAGCCTTGCCTTTATGATAAGAAATCATAATGAATTAAAAAAGGAAAAGATAGAATGGTTGTCAACTACAAACAACTTAATAGCAAGACTAAATTTGATGGTTACTTTTTACCGCATAAAGAAACTCTAATAAATAGCATTAGAGGAAAGAAGATATATTCAAAGTTTGATTACAAGTTAGGATTTTGGCAAATTAAGCTAACTCCTGAAAGTATTCCATTAACAGCCTTTAGTGCCCCTATAGGACACTATTAATGGCTAGTAATGCCTTCGAGATTGAAAAATGCACCTCAAATATTTTAGAGAAGAATGGATAACGTATTTTCGTCCATCAAGAAATTTTGCATAGTATATGTAGATGATATACTAATCTTTTCTAATAACAAGGAAGAACATCTATATCATCTTAAGAAATTTGCATATTTATGCAAGAAACATAGAATATTACTTTCTAAAAAAAACAAAAATAGGAAAAACCAAAATTGAATTCCTTGGATTAATAATAAATTCCACAAGAGTATAATTACAACCTCACGTTAGTGAAAGATTTTATTGTTCCTAAATAAATTAGAATCTAGAGAATAGATTCAAAGGTTTTGAGGAATACTCAATTATGGAGAGTAGTTTATTCAAAACTTAGCTCAATTAAGACATCTATTGCAAAAGTTGCTTAGGAAAAAGGAGAGTCAACAATGGGAAATTGATCACATCAATCATGTTAAAAGAATCAAAGAATATTGCAAGAACCTTCCTAGGTTACATTAGCCCAGAGATGATGAAGAATTAATTTTAGAATGCGATACCTCAGGTTTTTATTGGGGAGCAACTCTGAAAAATTCTCAAGAAAAGGTTTATAGATATGCTAGCGGTACATTTAAAGATGTAGAAGCAAAGGAACTAATAATTGTCATGCAGATTTTTTAAGGAGAGAATAAGCTAATGGATGAAATCTTAAAACTCCAAAATAAAGGAAAAGATTACTCAAGAAAGAAAGAAAAAAAAGTTAAAATATTAGACATCTTGTCAAAAATGACAATGAGTAAAGAATATCCGCTAGAATACCTTAGAGTTTGTAAAATGACATATTTAATGAGGCTTACCAAGAATTACCATCCTATCCATGAAGGGATTCATCCCAAAATTAATTTTATGTAGGGTGAAAACCTGAAAGAAATAAAAGAATTATTCTATTATGGCTTTATAAACTGTATCTATCTCTCAAAAGACAATGAGGAGATTTTAAAACTTCCAGAAGTTATATGCCAAGGAGTAAAAGACTTGGAGATTTGCACCAAAGCTCAAAAAGTAGTATTTGTCAAGATCTACTCTACAGCACTGTAATATCCCAAAATTTTGGGGTATTTTAGCATTAAATTGAGGATTTATTTGAGGAAAAATATTGTTTTGGGGCTTAATCGCAAACTTTTTAAAAGTTAAGGGACTAAAAAGAAAGGAAATTAGGATAAGGATCAAGGCTGATATTTCTCTCCTCAGCCATGTGTTTTGCTCTTCCTCATCTTCTTCTTCTTCCCGACTCTTCCCCACCGAAGCTCCCCCTAAGCCACCGACTTCTTCCTCCTTTGAAAACTGGTAGAAGACTTGAAATTTCTTCTTTCCTTCTTGTTCAAGAACTGATTTGGGGCTTAGAATCTTCCCTCTCAACCCAGAAATCCCGGATCTGCTCTGCTTCTTCCTCCCTTGTCCGTCGGGTTCTGCTGGGTTTGAATCCTTCGGCTTTTTCTGGTAAGATTTAGCCATGAATTCATCTCTTTAGCTTTGAATTTGGCTTGGGTTTACCTTGAATTGTGTTTTGGTTTTTGGATTGGGTAGCCGCGAGTTCCCCTGCAGAATTTCTTCTTCTCTGCCGCCGGCTTCTCCCCCCTGCTAGGCTTGGTTTTGCTTGTTAAATTCTGGTATGTGACAGCCCTCCAACCCCGAATTTGTCCGTTGATTTGCTGCCTTGAATCTTAAATTTTCTGCCTTTGATTTGCCCTTGTACTGTTCGGGAATTTCTGTTGAAATTGGGAATGAATTTTGGTAGCTTTAAGCTATGTTTTTAAGTGTGGTTTAAGTAGAAAATTAGCTTGAGTTGGCCTGTAGTGATTTTTGGAGAAAACCCGTGAGATTATTTTGGAGGATTGCAGTTACTGTTCAAGTCGTGGGTACTGTTCACGGGTACTGTTCACGGGTACTGTTCACACTTCGAGGGTCAATAATTAACGGGGATTTAAATGATTAGTTTGTGATATAAGAATGAATGTGGAGATGTCCGGTTATGTGAAGATTGATAGAAATAGCACCGTGATTAGGGGTAGTCCCGATGATGATTTTACTTTGAATTTGTGGTAACGCGGTATTAATTGTGGAATATTGTGATTAGGTTTTGATCGTTTTGTCACCGTAGCGCTTGGGTTAGCCTTCGGTTCTGTGCGAGTGAGGTAAGTAAATTATGGTAAAGCCCTTCGATTTCAAAGCATGTTTTAATTGTTTTTGAGATGGTGGCAAGGTTTTAATTGATTTTAAATTGATTTTACCAGCACTTGAGTGTGATTAAACTGAAATGGAAGTTTTGATGATTTTAATGAGAATTTCATGGTTTTTCTGGAAATGAGCATGATTGATTTGAAGGAAGATTATTAGTCTTTTGTATTGATCTGAGCACGCCTACTTGAAATTTAAGTGATTGTCCTGATGATTTGAAAGCGATTGGTGAATTAAGATTTTTCTGTAAACTTCTGCTTGTCTTGTCTCCGATGTGGTTATG